AGGATACGCAAAACAATTTTTAGAATTAACAAGTATTAACAATAACGTAGTCAATATAGACACTAACCTGGATTAATCCCCTATGTTATACCACCATCTATCTTTTATAACAATAATATAAAATAAAGATTTAATCCGGAATAAGGCTATTGTATATACCCTTGTTTTAGACCCCGAGGTCAAACCTAGAATATAGCCATATAATTAAAAATAAGATAAAAAATAGAATACTTGATAACATAATTAATAGAATAAACAATATTATTAATAAAAAGTATATACCATAGTGTAATAAATAGAATTTACAAGATAATAAACAAAAGCATATTATAGAAACATATCAATGTAGATCGCAGCTGTACAATTTTACAAATTATTTATATAATTATATAGAGGATATTTGTTTGTTTGTGTGTAAGATGAAATTTTATTTCATCGAGTGGGCTTTAAAAACAGTATTCTCACGAGTGGCTACTAACAAAGATTAGCTAGTGCAATAGTTTTCTTTCTTGTTATTTTTTGTCTAAGACATATTGCCGTGAGATGCTCGCATGACATTCGCATTAATCGATGCGGCAGTTTGTAATCTCTGTATGACATTTTAAAAAACGCATCATTTTCCGGAGGCATGCGTTATATAATCATAGTCATATCTTATTGCAGGTTGGCAAGTGCATTAGCTTGGTGGCTCTTGTTTGCCAAAAAAATATCAAATGACACCGGAGTGACATAGGCTCAAGGCTGTTCAGCGATCTCTTGTGCACATATATAAACTTTTAAGGAGAAGCATGCCAAAATTCCGGAGTCCGCCTTTGCTTACACATTCGTTCGATTTCGTTGTGGATTGTCCCATGCAATAGTTTGTATGTTTCAAACATTTTTAGTAGAATATTTCAAATATTTTCAATGGAAATAATGATTTGCCTTGTATGATGTGTTTGCTGTATGTTATAATTTGTTTTCTTAGCCATAGGTTAACAGGAAAAAATGCTTTGAAATTTATGAGCATGATAATCTAATTAGGAAGAAATTAGGAAGAATTTCCCCATTCCTGAAAAAGAGCTCATTTTTGTTAAGTCCAAACTAATCTGTTTTATTTTTCCTTCAAATTTTGTATATGCATAATATTGGTATCCTTAGGAATGCAACACAACTAAGTTTGTAATATTTCACTTCAAAATAGTGCCCATTATGGAAACACTACCTTAATGGCCTGTTTGCCAAAACGGTCACAAGTTGTTGGTAGGACAGACTCTAAGTAGTAATAGTCATATTAACTTTGACCAACGTACATCAGAACGAATGATCCACTTCAACCAATTGCTAGGAATGTAGATGAAAGTATAAATTAGTAGTCTTTAGTGGATTTTCCATTATTGTTCTTGTTATCGTCAAAGGTTAGGCCGCATAAAAATCTTTCTGCATGAAAAAAAAATCAACAAAAAGCTACTGTTGCTGATGATACACACAGTTATACGATTATGGGTATGTTCGTTCTCTAGCTGATAATCGGTCAGACAAGCTTTCTGTACGGTGAACAATCATTAATAGACCTCAATGTTTGTAGGGGTAATCTATTAGTCATGACCAATATTCAACCCAAATCTGAGGATTACCGGCCATATTATTTTATAATGGTTTGGTTCTGTAAGATCAACTGGTCTCAACAATTAAATGGACTGTAAACGATGCGTTTTTTAAATAGACTGTCTGTGGTTGTGCATACGATGTATAGAGCGATATATGCACATACTTCTTCGAAGAGTGCATCCTTTTAAATCAAGTGGCTAATCTATCAACTTCAATACATGTATTCACAGAAAGAAAACAGAAAATTAGTTTTCTATTCCTTCTCTGATTTACTAGTATTCAAGAGCTAACATGATTTTACAATTCAATGTATGGCAATTTACTTAGAAATTTATTGATTTCATTGATATAAATAGTACTGTATACTCAAACGTTGAGATTTTAGGCAAGTCTGGAAAAAAATGTTCCCGCCAGTTTTATTACTTCCCTGTGCACCTGTCTTAACGATTGTTAATTTATGTCCTTGTAGTTTAAATTCCCATTGTTAATGAACTTGACAAGGTTATGGTACTCTTTATATAAAAACATTATCACTAGTGCGAAGGCAAAAGTATCAACTTTTCTTGTTTTATCCTCTCTACTCAATCCAAACTTTCGAACTGACCTGAGGGAAATATATCAAAAGAGTTTACGATTGCGTTGGATTTACTCTTACATGATACCTTTAAGAATTATCAATGTTTGCTTAATGTTTTACGTTCGACTTTAAAGGATTGCTTTACATTCTAAATGTTGGACGAATTTAGTAAATATATTAGAAGTAAAACATGCAGTATTTGTTATATAATACAATTTTATTAGTGAGTTTAGATAATAGAAAGAAAATAGGCTAATGTTACACTCACGACAGTTTTTATAAATTTAAGGTGAAATGATATTTAAAAGCATTTTCATTAGTTTATTATTCTGTATAATACTTTAAATATTTCAACAAGGCTGATAATATTATTTTGAAAGAAATATATCACATGTCTTATAATGATTGTACAAGTGGTAAACGTAATTAATTATCTAATGTCAAAGATATGTCGTATACACTTATGGCTTTATGGATGTATGGGAAAATCAAGGTTGTGTCTGTAATAAATCTTTTATTTCCGAATTTAAGCAACGTGTAATAGATAACGTTTTACAAAACTGGCATTCTGACATTAATGGTAGCCCAGTTTTGAATTTGTATAATAATTTAAAGAGTGTGCTTGGTTATGAACAATATTTAGATCTTATACCAGGAAATCTTAGAACTTATATATGTAGAATACGTATGTCAAAATGTCTTCACATACATAACTGATACAAACCGGACGTTATGGTATAAACAGAATTTCTAGTTATGACCGATATTGTATAATTATATTGGAACCTATCGCCTCCGTGGTCGAGGGGTTAGAGTCGATGACTTCTCATCCAGTTACCTCTCTGGCGTGGGTTCGAACCCCGGCAGATGCATTGGTAGTTTAGCACAGAGAAAGTTGTCTAGTACTGGTGTAACTCTCCAGGAACGATGGTTAGGAAACTACCCGCCTATATGACTGAAATACTGTTGGGAAAAAACGGAAAATGAAACAAACAAACAAATATTGTAACCTTCGTGATATCGAAGATGAATACCATTTTATATTAGTATGTACCTGTTTTCTTGCAATTCATAAAAAAATATATTATGAGATACTACTATGTTAGACCAAGTGTGTTCAAATTTATTGAATTGTTAAATTGTAATAATAAGAAAATATTGTGTAACATTGCTTACTATATCAGAGATGCTATGGCTAAAAGAACATCCATGTCTTAAAATATGTAATAATGAATGGTTAATCCTCTATGTAGGAAGTAAACAGAATATTTCATGTTGTATTCTCTATCTATATTTTCATTGTTAATAGTATATATGTTAAGGTCTATAGCTATATTTATGTACATTAAATGTCATGTGACTATTGTATAGAATATTTAAATTGTACAAGTTGTAAGATGGTGTACCATGTACAAGTCTTGAATAAAATTTCTGTTTTGTTCTGTTCAGTTCTTATATAGAGGAATTAACTAATTCTAAAAATAAAATACATACTATCTTAATGAATAGAATTAACAATAACGTAAACAATAGGATACGCAAAACAATTTTTAGAATTAACAAGAATTAAAGAATTAACAATAACGCAGTCAACAGGTCAATATAGACAATAACCTGGATTAATCCCCTATGTTATACCACCTTCTATCTTTTTTATAAAGTTATTTACTATAAAAATTTTATTACGGAATAAGGCTATTGTATATACCCTTGTTTTAGACCCCGTGGTCAAACCTATAATATAGCCATATAATTAAAAATAAGATAAAAAATAGAATACTTGATAACATAATTAATAGAATAAACAATATTATTAATAAAAAGTATATACCATAGTGTAATAAATAGAATTTACAAGATAATAAACAAAAGCATATTATAGAAACATATCAATGTAGATCGCAGCTGTACAATTTTACAAATTCTTTATATAATTATAAAGTCCGTTCCCAATGAACTACATGTAATTAAAATTTCTGTCTTAGAGTTTCGTTTCAATACAATACCGAACATTATAATAGACATGTATATATTAATATCTACGTCTCTTGCATCGCTATTCAGGAAAAATATGTAGAAAAGCTAATTTATAATGAAATATGTAAATTAAATGAACATTGATTATGTTTGTTGTTACACTGCCGGTAAGTTAAAAAGCAGGACAATTATCTTTGTTTATTTTCATAGCAAGTCAAAAATCAATGCAGTCACTAAGTCAAAGGTCAAGGTCACAAGGGCCTTAAAGGGAGTCCACTAAGGTTTTTTTGACATGATGGGACTGAAAATATTTTTTCCAGATAAATGTACCATTTGATGTATGTTTAGACCATTAATATGTGTGCAAAATTTCAGATCATTTGCGCACTTCGTTTTTCCAGAATAATTATTCAAATTGTAAAAAGTGACCCAAAATGAAAAGCGTTAAAAAAGCTTTTTACTCAAATCGGGCTAAGAAAAGCATAAAAATACGATTTTCAATTTATTTCAAAGTATATTTCCTAACTATCTTTGCATATATTTCTGTTTAAAGTGCCCCAGCTCATTTATGTAAGAAATTCAAATGTTATGTTTTTAGGCTTTTAAACCTCAGTTGAGTCCCTTTAACAGATAGGAAAAACATGAGTAAAAAAAAAATATATTTGACGTCTTCTATGTTCTAAGTAGTCATAATGATGTTCTCAAAGTCATTATTTTATTGCGATATTTTATTGTCATAATAATGTTTTGTATACTAATATATGCACTGTTCGTTATCTTGTGAATATGGTTTTTATGTCATCACGGGCTTATAAGCATTATATGATTGGAAGGAAAATGTCCTTGACTATAACTTTGTCTATATCTGACGAAAGGCTTATAAACTACCAGAGTTCTGGGGAAAAATCATACCAGCTTGATAATTTCTCTGAATTTCTTATCACAGTATCTTATTTCCTGTAAAACATTCTGCTAGCCTTCCAGGAATTTCAAACGGCAAACTATATAACAGTGAGTGTCTAAGAAATCTGGTAAACATTTGATGGAATAATTCTGAGATGGAATGGATTAAATTGTGTTTGCTTGTTGGCAGCATTTTCGGTTCTTGCGAAGGGTTTGTATTTTTTTCATCGACTTTAGAAGATACAATATTTATAAAAAAATTACTTCAATAGCATTGTTTCTTCATAAATATTGATTTATCCCAATACTATGTTGATAAAATTTGATTCATTAATGCATCGATTATTTCTTACAATTTTGTATAATAACTGGCTTTTTCTACATTGAAATGTAATATAAATTGTCGAATATATTCAATATCGATGAACATCCGGATCATTTCAGCTTTGTATAAACATATCAAAAAATATATCTGGGAAAGTCGTGATGACAAAATATACAAACAATCCGAATATATCTGTTCACGGTCTCGTGATATAATTACAACTACACGTCTCCAGACAACTGCATAAATGATTAGTATAAATGTTAAAGAAATATGATTAACCCTCGATTAGATTGATTTTTTAATTTCTTTTCATATGTCAACCCCGTTACTTACTTACGTAGTAAGGTTTATTTCTTTGTATTGAAAATTGTACTTTTTGCTATAGAACATGTTGTTTTAATGCAATAATATTTTTGTATTTATAGCAATTGTAGCAACACTTTTTGACTCATTGCATATACTGTCTGTATATAGTAAGTTTGTAAGACTCACTTAAATCAATACATGTGTACACTTTACAAACGTTTTACTTCTATAATAACCAACTAAAAGGTCATTGAAATATCTCCCTGGAGATTACTTATATACTACTAAATGAAATATTGTCAGATATTGATGAAATAAAATGTGTATTTTCATTTGCCGTATTTTCACTATAAAAAATTATTTTTCACTGTAGTGAAACATAGTTTGTGTCTTGCCGGACTACTTTCTTCTAATTTCAGCTAATAGGGAAAGTCTTGCAAAATGTAATGTCAATAAAGAAAAAATCATTCTGGAAACAGTTAGTTAATAATTATCTATTACACGAACTTTTCTATCTACAACGTTACGAGGGGTTAAACCCCTTTTTTTCGAGGAGTTTCTGTTAATTTTTACAAATCACATATTTATCTTCTTACATGTCTTATCTTACACTATGTTATGTATACAGCATAGTATACATAGAGTTAATTAATAAAGAAAAAATTGTATACTTATCATAAACAGAAAATTCAAGTTTTTTTCTAGAAATACAGGATTTTTTATCTTGTTCTATGAAAGTTATCATATTTCACTCGTGGCTACCGCCACTCCTGAAATATTTATTTTCATACCACTCGATGAAAATAAATGTTGTATTTGAAGAAAAATCTTGCATATCCGCTATTTAGTGTTTGGTGCAAACACCACCAACAAAACATTGTTCCATTTTTTCACAACTTTAAAGTTGTTTTTTATCGTGTGTAATGTAATAGTTTCTGAAACGTTACGCATTGACCAATTACTTAAACAAATTTTTGTTCCTTTTGCCTTTTGGTTGTAAGTACAATTATAGTGATAAAGTATTTTATATAAAAGTCAAAATTCTATTGTGTTTTCATTTTGCTACGCTTATGACAAATAATTTCACATTCAGTGCCACTTTATTCAGGTGATAGGCATCTAACATGCTCTAAACCATTATTTCAATGCAATTAAAACACGTTTGCCTTTTCTAAAGAAGGAAAAAAATGAAAACGAACAACTAAATTTCTCTTTATTTCACGAAAGTAACTAATTAAAAATATCTCTTTATATAAAAACAATTGTAAGGGAGAACCTTGCAATAGCTATATTGTCCAAGCGAATAATGAAATATAATACGCTCGGTACACTCATTTAAGGACATCTAGGTAAAACAAGTTGGAATACAGCTTGGCAGAAACAACACGAGCGATGCAACCCTTTACAATAACAAAATATGAAAAACAAAATCATCAAGGAAGAGCGGCTTTCAACAAAATCAGAACAGGGCACAAGGCAAACACAAACTTACATTCATGGGGGATTTTTTATTTTTTTTTTATTTCATTTTTTTTTTCATTTTTGAGGCATAGTGTCAGTTCTATAAACATTGAATTATGAACATCCTAGATCTATCTCACTATTGATAATGCTCGTATGTCATTGTATGTCTTATTTTTCAGTGCTAATGATTATTATTTCGTGCTTGCTCCAAACGTGATAAGGTTTAATAACCCAGAGACAGTACTAGTCAATATATTTGGCAACAGTCAAAATGTACAGGTATCGGTAAGTACCTTTGTTATTATTCTCTAACTTGATTACCCAGTATGATTGGCGTCTTTTTGGTGTTGTTGGTAATTAACCCTCCGAATCACGACATTAATTTACATTGAATTAACTAGACGAAGGCGTCCTTTTGACTTTTCTTGTAATTGTTTTATACAAAATTGTCAAGAGGGTATAACATTTTAATACTTCTGCTTATGGCAAAAATATTTCCAATGACGATTCGCTAACGACAGTTGATGAAATGGTATTTGTCCTCAACCATTCAAAAAACAAATTTATTTGGTTATTTCTTGTTGGAAAAAATAGTTTCCTCCAAGAACAGTATCTAAGAATTCTTGAAACACTGATGGGCATACTTGGAAATCTATGATATCACAGGAACTTCATTGTTACATTGTTTCCAAAAGAAGCAAATGCAACAAGGAAATGTATATAAGTAGATTATGATTTTAATTTCAATGAACGATTTTTTTATTATCTATATTAATAAACAAATATTAATAGATCCCTTTTATGATGATTATTGAATAATGCTAACACAAGAAAGGTGATATATAACGAGATTTTAGTAATATTGTTTTTGTGGAATTGTCTTATTTTTATTTAACGCATGTTTAAGGTTTGACTCGAGTTCAGGGGGATGTCTTTTTCTAAAAGAACTATTACAGTTTAGGTAAACCCTGTCCTAGAAAAAAGCCTTTCTTTGGTTAAACCCCAGTCGTATAAAGAACTTTCATTGGCTATACACCAATTCTAGATAAAAATTTCCTTGGTTAAACCCCTTTGTAGAAAAACAACCAACAACTTTCCTTGGCTAAATCCCATCAGTAGAAAGTGGTTCCCTTCGTGGATGGAACTTCCTTTGCTAAACCCCAATCGTAGGCAGTACTTTCCCTGGCTTAACCGCCATTGTAGAAGGAACTTTCTTTTGATTTAATTTGTTTAAATTTAATTTTTTACGCTTGTTTCAAGGTTTGGCTTGAGTACAGGGGGAACCCTTTTTCTAAGTCAACTGTCACCGTTCCAGATCAGGGTAAGTTGATAATTTATATTACAAATTGATATGAAATTATTTACTTTATTTACAAACTGTGTTTGTTTGGGGAATTTAGATAAAAAAAGAACTTATTGGATTAATTGTTGTATGTCTCATAGCTTATCAAAATTTCTTATCAAATATGCAAAATAATTTCTATTACAATTTTTCTATCCATTTAATGTCCATGGATTTTATAGACAAATGTCTCGGTGTGTTTTCAGACTATTTCCGTCTCTGTAAAACAGTTGCAATAAGATACGATAAGACATGTATTCTCTATATTGACATGTGTTTGTTTGTTTGTTTGTTTCATTTTACGCCTTTTTCCAACAGTATTTCAGTCATATAGGCGGTTGACATGTGTAAAACAATAATATGATACAGGTGAATTAAGAGTAACAGCCTTACCACCCGGTTACCTTGTATTGAAAAAAAAACATCAAAATATCATAATAAGTAGTATAGGGGACGGTTTAGGGCCACGACTGCGCATGCGCGGCGCCATATTGGATTCTATTTTTAGAATAACATTATCGTTCTATTTTTAGAATGACATCATCACGTTATAAATAGAAATAAATAATATCCCCCGGAAGTATACGGAGCTGACTCGTATACCCGATCTTAGGGCTTGAATCGCGGACATTGAAGGTCAGGTCCTCGGCCCTAGACGGAGAGATAAATATCCTCATTTATAAAAGAAATGTCTGTAAATAAATACCTGCTTAACATTTTAATTAATAAAAGCAAATAAACTAGAATTAAAAAAAATACAAATAGCTTATGTTTTTTAATATGGTCAAAATAAATAATATACATTGAATAAAAATAGTACTTGTTTACTCCTCGGCGGTCCGAAACCAAATGACACAAATCATCAGTGTATTATTTCTAAATGCTCTGATCACGAGTGTAAAGTCGCCACAATGTATGGCGTGTGTTTATTTAGGGACGGAAACACTAACAATGGCCTATTGAAATGTTAAAGTTAATCCCTTTAAAGTAGCCACTCGGTCTGACGTATGTTTATTTAGGGACGGATATGCGGACAATGCTCCATTCAACTGTCAAAGTTTATCCGTCTAAAGTAAAAGCGGGTAATCAATTATTTGTTGAAGTGTCAGTTTACCACTGGGGCATAATTTTAAACTCATTTTGGAAAAGAAACGTTTTAAAACGTGCAAAATTAAAAAAAAAAAACTATTATAACCGAACAAAAATACAACAAAAAAAGCCTTTTTCGTCTTTTGTGCAACATTTTACGATATACATTTTGATTTTTTTCGCATCAAATGATAGACCTGACAGAATGCTTCAAAATAAACCCTAGGTTCTCAATTCGATTTTTAGCTGTTTTTAAACCATTTTTTCAAAGTTCATAAAACCCTTAGATTTATATGCCGTTTGAAAGATCTCTGCCAGTACATACAGAAAATGTATTATTATATAGATCTATCTTTTACTGTTTCTGAGATAGGAGAGTTTCAATATGGCAGACAAAATCACTCATGCGGAAAAACGCGCATAACTTTTTCGTTTATGAATAAAACACAGTCATTTTTGGTATCAAATTGAAGGTCTTGACGAGTACATTCTGACGCTGGCGATAGTGAAGTTCATACTAGAAGTCAAAATCAATCATGCGTAAAAAATATATATTTTGGTTGCAGAAAACACGTTTTTACGCTTCAGTGATTTCAGTTCCTGTCCAATGGCTTTTTGAATAGCGTCAGGTAACAGGTTTGGTAAAATGCTTTCCAACGATACCAAACACGTATATATTCGGTCAAGTAATAACGAAGAAATCGATTTTGAAATTTCTGTGACGTCACTTCCGGTGAATTTAAACTCGAATTACTCAAAAACGGTAAAAGATAAACCCATAAAACTATATATTTTCTTAATCAGCGCGACGAGACGAATCGATTGGTAAACAGTTGTAACGTTTTTATTGACTTTCGAAATTTAGGGTTTAAAATCGCTCTTGCGTCATAACTCAAAAACGGCTGAAAATCGAATCGAAAATGGGGGTGTAAATTAAAGGTAATGAACTGTTCTTTCAATTGGTAGTCAACAATTAAAAATCATATCGGATTCGGTTGCTCTAGTAACCAAAATATATATTTTTTACGCATGAGTGATTTTGACTTCCAGTATGAACTTCACTATCGCCAGCGTCAGAATGTACTCGTCAAGACCTTCAATTTGATACCAAACATGACTGTGTTTCATTCATAAACGAAAAAGTTATGCGCGTTTTTCCGCATGAGTGATTTTGTCTGCCATATTGAAACTCTCCTATCTCAGAAACAGTAAAAGATAGATCTATATAATAATACATTTTCTGTATCTACTGGCAGAGATCTTTCAAACGGCATATAAATCTAAGGGTTTTATGAAAAAAAATGGTTTAAAAACCGCTAATGGGCCATAACTCGAAAACAGCTAAAAATCGAATCGAGAACCTAGGGTTTATTTTGAAGCATTCTGTCAGGTCTATCATTTGATGCGAAAAAAATCAAAATGTATATCGTAAAATGTTGCACAAAAGACGAAAAACGCTTTTTCTGTTGTATTTTTGTTCGGTTATAATAGTTTTTTTTTTTAATTTTGCACGTTTTAAAACGTTTCTTTTCCAAAATGAGTTTAAAATTATGCCCCAGTGGTAAACTGACACTTCAATAAATAATTAATTACCCGCTTTTACTTTAGACGGATAAACTTTGACAGTTGAATGGAGCATTGTCCGCATATCCGTCCCTAAATAAACATACGTCAGACCGAGTGGCTACTTTAAAGGGATTAACTTTAACATTTCAATAGGCCATTGTTAGTGTTTCCGTCCCTAAATAAACACACGCCATACATTGTGACGACTTTACACTCGTGATCAGAGCATTTAGAAATAATACACTGATGATTTGTGTCATTTGGATTCGGACCGCCGAGGAGTCAACATCGTATGTATGTATTTTACGCAGATATTTATTAAATTATTTTACAGTAAATGTCCTTATTATTATTTTATATAGAAACATTATTTGACAGAGTCATAATATCGAATTAAATTGAAAATAAATTTCATATATTTTGTTATATGTTAAAATTTTTATTAAGAATTGTCTTATTTATAGTATTATAGAGAGTCAATTAGTCAGTCGGTTTTCAATTATATCTTATTACTTATGTATTTTCTTTTATTTGGAATGTTTATAGAAAAACACATTTAAAATGATATATTAATATTTAGTCAGTTTTTATTACTAATTAAAAATATAATCAAGCCGTTTACATTTTTTAAAAAGAGACTCTACTTTATTCGAACAATGATTTTATTAATTGATATGTGTAGTTAAGCACGTATTTATACAAAGGTTATCTGTAGTTATAATAATGGTGATTATCTCCCCGTCTAGGGCCGAGGACCTGACCTTCGATGTCCGCGATTCAAGCCCTAAGATCGTGTATACGAGTCAGCTCCGTATACTTCCGGGAGATTAAAATGAAGTTCTAAATATAGAACGATGATGTCATTCTAAATAAGGAATCCAATTTGGCGCCGCGCATGCGCATTCTTGGGGCCAAACCGACCCCTATACTACTGTACTACTTGGCAAATGGAATGATAGTTATAATTGTAAATTAAATAACTATCGTGTGCCATACTCATAAACATGGTTTAACAGTATAACAGGTTTCTAAACTCGACTGCTTTTATGCATTGCTTGTTATTTGATTTTGCGCGATGTTTTGTTGTCATTGGTATAGACTTTGCAAAACTGCATTTTCTTAGTAAATTTGTTTATGATACTTAAAATGACCACATTTCCAATCTATTTTCTCCTATTTAAGCTTTGATGGGCATGCACTCTATACAAGTATTAGGCCAGTTCTGTTCGATTTAAAACAAATAAAAACCTTTTTCGGAAAATTTCCCTTTATTCCACGAAAATAACGTCTACATATCTCGCAAAACATACTCCTGAATATCGTGCCTAACAAAACAATGAGAAACCTTCCAAAAGTTATAATGCCCAAGCGCAAATTACAACTTTTACACACATTAGGGCTCTTGATGATTTCGAATTAGTTAGAATATAATTTAACCGAAACAACAATATCGATGAAACGTATTACAATAACACACTGATATTTATTTAAAAATTTCCTATATCCTGGCATAAATCAATCATGTTTGTATGTGTATGATATATTCTAATTGTGGACCGCATGCTGTGTTTTTACAGGTTCAGTCATTGATAAAATTCACTTACCCAGACCTTTAAGTTAAACAATGTTTGTCCTAGCTTCATTCTATACAAATTGGTTTCATTTGTAAATGTTTCTTTCAATATTATTCAATTGATTTCAGCATCCCCAGTTTATACAACAGTAAACGTGACAGAGTCGGATATTTTCAACACTGTTATTAAAGACAAACCAAGAATTATCAATCTTTGCTCACAACGCGGAAACGAGAACAAAATATGCAATGACGTAGTACTCAGCTACAAGACGGGGTATTTGATCGTACAGACGGACAAACCTATATATACTCCACTACAGAAAGGTTTGTCTTACATATTATTGCGTCTAAAGATCCTGTATGTTGTAATTGAGGATGTTACCACACTTAAGTGAACTTTTATATAAATTATGTATATAATTATGCTTATAAAACAATTTTCAAACATCGAAGAATATGTAAAATATGTACTATAAATAGTTGTGCACGTTATATGTCATCATTAAAATATATGCATTCATTTATTATTGAAAAATTGGACTTAGAGTTTATAGAAAATGAATTTCTAATTACCTCCTCTTATTTACATGAAATGTTAAATTCGGTAATATCTGTAAAAATAATGCTTTTTGGAACTTACAATATTGATTAATCTTAAATTGAGCATCATATTTATGATATAAAATCATAAAAAATATGTTATAGGATCTTTAAAAATTGTCCATAATATTGTGTAGATGCGCAAACATTTAACCTATTTTTTGTCCATAAAATGGCGGCAAATATAAATTGGAGGGTTTAAAAGACGATAACATGGAAAACACGACCAAATATGGAAAAAGTCATAGGGTACTGTATGAATCAGTTCAATTGTGATGATAAGCGACTGCCTGGAGGTAAAAAGTTTCATGGTGGCAAGCCCTTTGACTCTGGTACGCGGTTAGAATACCCAGATTCCGCTTAATATTTCGCCAATATCATTTGAAATAACAATAAGGTTTTATTCGAATTAAATGCATAAAACTTGTTGTAGTGCAAAAGCTGTTCTTGACTCAATTCCCTTGCAGGAAAATCTAAACCCTGTTCCAAAAAAAAAATGAATAAAAAAATGACTATATGCAATAGTAGAAAGAACTTACCTAGGTTACACCCCGTAATAGAAAAAAAACTTCCTTTATGCTAAACCCCCTATCTTTTTTTAAAATCCCTTCGTAGATAGAACTTTCCTTTGGTAGACAGTATTTTCCTTGGCTAAGCCCCATCGTAGGAAAAAACTTTCCTTGGCTTAACATCCATCGTAGAAGGAACTTTCTTTTGATGTTTAATTAAATAATCTCTGGGTTCCCATTATCTTTGTGCAAATTTTCATAGACTAAATCTGTTGTGAATATTTTGTAGAAAAAAGAGAAAAAACCTAATGAAGTAGGTTAAAAAGATTATAGCCGATGAAAGATTATCCGATAGAAGGGTCTCTGCACTTAGTTCTAAAATTTTGACTCTTATTTAATGTTTCTCGAATCACTCACAATGATGTTTGCTGTTTGTTTCAACCTATATTTCGTTTCGTAACTCTGCTTCCATCTATGAAGACGTGTATGGAATGAGTTGTTACGCATATTGTTACACACACGCGCACACGCGCACACAACACACATACACACACACACACACACACACACCAACACACGCACACACGCACACACGCACGCACACACACACACACACACACTGCCAGGTCTTTTGATGCATAAAGGGGAAAATTTGTACCTTATTGGAGAAGTCATCAGACCTCTCCACAGTGTTCAGACTGATTGCTGGCGGCATCCATTTTTGCGTATCTGATTGTAGTGAATGAATCTCATTTACAGCTTAAAACCATTAGGAGCAGTCTACAAAATTTGTTTTGCGCATGCTCCGTTTCAAAATACGACTTAACTTAAACGAAAAATTAACATCGAAGTGAACGAATCGGTACATAGAAAAATCGGAAAATATCATTTACGTTACTTAGCGCTACGTGGATGTTTCATTTCGTTCTAATCTTTTAAACTGTATAAATCGATTCCAGTATTGTTTTCTGAATAGCATTTTACTATTTCATGTTCCGATAAATAGTAACAGTGACGATAAATAGCTACAGTGAACATTATAGCTACACTATTATATGACCGAGTGAACCGTGTACCGAAATTTTGCTGCTCCTTAAACTTTTGAACCGGTATGACTAAGTAACGCAGGCGCAAACCACACAAATTTGACACAAGTTTTTTTTCTTAAAGTATTGTGGTTGGAGGCATGCATCTATTCTTCATATTCTGTTTATTCCAATCAAATGATATAAAACATTTTTTATGTAAATCCTGGACTTAAAATTGTCTGATTAACATACTTTATGCGTGTTTTGAAATGTTTCCATATACTTACCAAAACATTAACCGAAAATTTGCTTATTGAATTTTACAAGAAAATTTTATTTTGATACTACTTTTAATATCCATATCATTTATCTTAAATTTAGTTCCCTTTGACGAAAAAGTATCCCTAATGCGCCAGGAAAAAGGTCCATTTCTCCAGCATATAATCTTTCATATCATTAAAAAATGAAGTGTAAAATAAACTTTCATTATGAAACTATATATTCAATTTATATAATAAATTATATTTTGTTAAATAATTGTAATTTATAACCATTCATTGTGTCTTTTGTCCAAATATTTTCAAATTAAACAAATCTTCTACAGCAGCAAAAAGACCTCTCGCAAACTTATCTAATAATGCGCTGTTTTTTTTACTTCTAGTGAAGATAAGAGTTTTAGCCCTTGATGAGTCATTGAAGAGGGTGTCGGGTGATCAATGGCAATTACATCTGGACATCGTCGTAAGTTGATGCATGAAGAAAAGAATAATTTTTAGTACATCGTTATATCAGAATAAAATGTGATGAATATCCGGAACTAGGCAAATGTCTTGTTTACACCAGCTAACCTCCTAGTATAAACACTTTTACCGTTGTGGTATCACGGTTTAGTCCATCTGTTGCGCTTATTTATGTAAATCCCGGGAAAGATTTTTTTATTCCGGAGTAAATCTATTACAAAAAGAAGCGTAATGGAAAAGCTTTAAGAACTGATGAAATGTTAAACAATTTTCATAATGTACATGTATCTTTGTTTAATCAGAGTGGGTCTAAATGGTAAGACATAATTTTTTTATGGGATATACCGCGGGAATATTACCTTATTACTAATGAAATTACACACTCAGCGTTTCGGACAAAGATAATTATATTATTCACCAATCAAAATATTGTGCTTTTATGTTCCGTTAGTCAGAACTGTTATTACGTAACTTTATACATTTCACATTTATTAGATTTAAAGATTTAAAAAATTGTTAAATGCAAATTAAATATTTCCGAGTATTTGCAAATTTTTAAAATACATATTTTATTTTACTATTTACAGAGCCCCTCAAACCTGACTCTTGGAAGAAGAGTATTTACGAGCACAAGTTCAAGCGGGTTTTACCAAAATGCCTTTTCCTTACCGCCTTACCCGGAAATTGGAACATGGACAGCTCGTGCCTTCTACGGCGGCCATGTATGTTTGTTCTAAATCAATTAATTAATTAAGTACAATATTCTTTATTATGCTTAATTTATTCACGACACAGTGTCCAACTGTAACTTTTCCAGAGAGATACAGTTATTGTTATCAAATGACCTTCAATTTACATTTGAATTGTACATATTTCTAGTATATGTTTGAAACCCTTTGTTTTGATTGACTTTCATTGTAGATGACTACTACTATCGAATATTTCTTTGCTATTGCATTGTTTTGAATATTGGCTTGTTCTTTTCGGGAGACTTTTTCGGGTAGTTTTCGAATTGTTTTTACGAGTTACGCATTGTTTTTGTTTATGAAAGTATAATTCTCGATACTTAAATAATACAATTACGACCCGATGTCCAAGTGGTAAGTACAACGGAAATGCTATTTCGTCGATATAATTTGATGTCAATCATATTTTAGATTTCTTTCATTACTTTTTTTTCTTGGCAGTTTTGATTTTATACAGCAAGAGTAGATGAAGGCATAAGTTTAACTGATAATTATTTCATTTCAATTTTTTGATAAATATGTAGCTTATTAATTTCAATTAGGGACACATAAAAACATTGTGGTCAAGTTTAATATAAATTAAAAAACAATATTATAATGCTTCACCATGTGTGGAACGTACAACCTTCAATTTGTAACTGAAAGTCTAATATCTTGTCCCTGAGGCAGCGAAATCCGTATGATTTACTTCGGAATCCAACATTTACCTACAATCCCTATGATTCAATTAAATTCGCAATCTGATAATTACCTACAATCCGTCTGATTTACTTCTATCTACAAAACGTCATTGAATTTTCAAATGTCTCAGGTCAATATTGCAGAACAATATAACCATTTTGTTACAGATGTTTCAGATCTATTTCATTTGGTACATGTATATTCCTATTGAGAGCTAACTAGCTACCGTACTGCAAAACAAAACTAGTATAGTTTTATGACTAATCCACATGTAAAAATAACGATAGCATTGGTTTGAGTTATAATGAAATGCTACATGAATATTTTGTTCAAGATCATTTTTACGGTTTTTTCTTTTTAGTATGAAACAGTAGCAAGATCCCAATTTCAAATTGAGGAATATGGTAATGTATTTATTTGATTCTTATTATGTATATATGATAATCATGTCTGTTTCAATGCTTAGGCAAATTTCTGCTGTTGTATAATGCTTCCGTTGAAGATAAATTATAAAGACGTACAAACTTCCTATAAAGTTTGGAAATTTTTTAAATTAAACTTGAAGGTTTTGTTGCCAGCTCCGCTCAAAATTCCGCGACCGATAATTCTTGAACAGGATCAAACCTTTACAAAATATATTATCATTGCTAATATACTAAAAAGTTACCAAACATTTGATTTTTGGCAAAGATGTTAACTTAAACATCGTAAACATATTGTTGGTTCTAGTTTTGAGACACATGCGTCAAAATAGAACAAAAAATATCTACAAAGTACGTTTTCTTGGAAAAACCCTTATCTATTAACCAATCTGCGCACAATTCAGCTGCGATTTAACATTTTCCCACGAGTAAAATTTATCTCGTGATATTACGTTCCGACTTCTTTCAAACAACAATTCTGATTTAAATTAACTTAGTGAATTATCATGAATTAAATTTGTGAATTATTCTATTATTTTCATGTTTTTGAATTATTTTTTACAGTTGTTTCTTTGCAATAAGCTTCATATTTATTTGTTTATGTAAATTTACAAGTAGATGCAATGTATACATAAATGTTGCTCTATTTTTTCACCGATAAAATTAACATCTTTTTCTGCAGATTAAATGAGTTTATTTTCCACAGTTTAGAAACCATTAAAAAAATCACGCATGCGTGTTAACGAGTCGACTGATTTAGCAGTTGCTTGAGCTGTTACATGTTCTTGTTCTACTGAGAATCGTTTCCCTTTTTATACTCTTGAAAGTTTACTTTTCGAGCTTAGAGTAGATATATGACTTAATTATGCCTTCAAAAACGAATCTTCAGTTATAGATTAGTAAATCAAACGAGGTACACAAAAGTTCCTTTATATCAAAATATTATAATAATACAGATATCATCATACCCCGATATTTGAGCTTGAGCGCTAGTTTATTTCTCGTTAATATTTTAATATTAATGTCAAATTAAAGATAAAGAGGGTGTTAACAATAGGCCCATATATTTGTACACATACGTGATAATTTTGTCCAAAAGAAATAAATGGTTAGAGATTCTCAGAATTCCTTGATTATGATAAATTATCTTCTCCGTTTTATGTTAATTAATTTGTTAGAGAACTGGTGAATTACATGCAGTTCGATTTACAACGTATCAACGGTTAATATTGAGTTATCAACAAATATTCGAGAACCACATTTACCACATGGTTTTCTCATAATATATACGAAAAAATCATGAGATCATGTTGTCACACTGACTGCGGGGAAGTAAAATCTACTGTTTAACTGATCTGAATGATGTTTAAATACCCTTTTTGGGTGGGTTTAACCTCGCACTATCACAGTATAGGTCATATGACGACTTTCCAGTTGTACTGGTACAGGAAGACACCAGGTACCCTTCTGTACATTATTTGAGGCACAACCGGGCACCTTAGTAGAACCTTGGCGTTCCGTATGTTTAAATGAAAGGCTGTAGGCATTTGCTCATACTTGCTTGGAATCTAAGGATCTTTTTTTAACTGCATGCCTTCAAACATTTTTGATGATTTATGTTATTAAACGTTAACAAAAAATCTTTCTGTATATCTTGACAGATATGTTTGGACTTCATCTATTTCGTTATTGTCTGCTGCAAAGTTATACAATCGAGCGTTCATTATTTCTAAATGAACCTCATACACAGAAGAAACAAAACATATTACCTTTGCATATACATTATTATACGCCGGCCTCCAGGCCAGCGTGTGATATGGTATACATAAGATAAAAATTTCATGGGGAAAAATTGGTCTGTGTGTTTGACGTCATCAGGCCAAAACAAAATGATCTTGAGGTTCTGGTAACATGCTGAAAAAAAATATAGGGTAGATATGTCGGAAATACAATTTATTTTTTTAATTAGTACTTTATTAAAATTAACTGTATGTCGGATATATAGACTATAAGATAATCCATTTTTGCAATAAAATGTTCTAGGTTAGGTGTGGAAATACAGGATCGGTCAGGTTACTGGAACCACAAGACCATTTTGTTTTGGCATAATCTCGCGAGAATTGACATTTAAATTTTTTTTCAAACATGAACGAATATCAGCATATAGTTTAGTTATATTATGATTATGAAAAAAATACGTGATGAAATAATCTAAAATGTAAAAGAAATGCTTTTATTTAGACACGTGATTAAAGTTCTCGCTAAACAAAAACAACATCCAATGAAAATGCGTTATTTACACCACGTGGTTTACATACGCAACCGTACCTTATTTGGCATGAGGACTTAGCATATCCATAAATAACCTACACCAATAACCATAAATGTTTATGACTCAGTTGCTTTAGAAGATAAACTTTTTTTAAACCAGTTTAGAAAAGATGGCCAAGTTAAGCATCCTTAAAAATATAATTCTTTTGTAGTAGACTGGTTTTAAATTTCAGAACAATATTTATAATGAGTACAATTTTTCAGTCTTGCCAACATTCGGTGTCACCGTTGACGTGTCACAGCCATACATTTTGATGAAACATCCCAATGACTCTACGATTGACTTCACAGTCATAGGAAAGTATGTACACATTTATACTATAAAAGATATAATCAATATCAGTAATCAATTCATGTTACACAAACTTTCAATATTTACATCATTAACTTCCAACCTTCCTTGTTGATTTTTGTTTCATGTTAGATGATAATTTGTGTAGCTTCCGATCCCCTGCTTTATTGGATGTCTACCGCCACTTGCATCAATAATATGCATTAAGAGGAACAACATGAACTATTCTTATAAGAAGCACTTATGTGCAAAACATGTGTTATCATTGCAAGTGCATCGTATGTGAACGGATTAAGGTATTTTTGCAAGAAAAAATTATATGAACAATACGAGATATTGTTGCGAGAACAAAAAGGGGTTGTGTAAACAGAATGAGGCATCATTGCAAGTAGAGGTTGTATATACAACATGAACTTCTATTGGTTGTATAAACAACATGAGCTTCTATTGGTTGTATAAACAACATGAGCTTCTATCGTAAGTAAAGGTAGTGTACTCACCAAGAGTTTTATTTATAAATATTTTTTTATTAAATAAGATATGTGTACGGAAAGCCGGTAGCAGGAAAAGCAAGATTGTCTTTCAATGTAACATATGCGAATGGGGAAAGTAAATATCTCTTTAGCATGGACCGAAAAGAAGTAAGTGAAATTTATACTAGTCGTTTAAAGTACAACCAATAAAGTCCTTGTCATGTCGTACGTTTGTGGTAAACTTCGTGTTTATACTTAGTTTGATTTTTTTGCATTTATTTTTGTATTTGTGGGTGGCGAAGGGGTAAGAGCATTGGCAAGAAAATGTTATTGTTTACTATTAAACAGAGAAGGAGACAAACTGGTTAATATAATTATACATATTCGTATGTAAAAAATGTTATATGCATATTGCTGGAAAAAAGGAAACTAACATATTAAAGAAAATATCTTACGAAACATTTCATGAAGAAAATCAACATTAGATCTCAAATGCACATTCACAGTATAAAATGCATTTTGTTACATATCGATGAGGGGCCTTCCTGATCAGTTCGTAGAGACAAACAATCACTCGCACCTCACCGTATATTTTTGTTTGTTTTAGCTTGAACGGGGTATAGCTGAATTCAGTGTAAACATTGTTGGGTCTGAGGAGCTTAAGAAGTTACCATATCCGGATGGAGGTCGACTTGTAGCTATTGCTACAGTGTTTGAAAGTGCGACAGGGAAAGAGGAAAACATGTATAACGATGAAACAGTTTTCGCTAGAGAACCATTCATTTTCAAATTTACTAGATCTAAGCGATTTTTTAGACCAGGAATGGGTTACTATTTAAAGGTAACTTAGATATTTATTTTGATTAATATTGGAAAAATAGTTGGATATGTATCTATCTATATTAAACTTCTCTCGAGTTCACTCCCTGGACGTTCTAAGTGTTATGGCATACGAGAAAAATGAAAATGTCCATAGCAGTATTCAAACCCACATTCTTTTGATTAGAGGCAAACTGATTATTGATCTACAAGGTACTCTCTTATGAGTATTATTTGTACACATTGCTTACAGGTTGATGTGAACATGCCAAACGGTCTCCCTGCTAAAGATCAGAAAATAACAGTGGAGCAAATTAATGACAATGGTGGGGTTGTTGAAACTGAAGAAGCAAAGACAGATAGCGACGGACAAGCACTTGCTATTTTTGAGAATACAGCGCAGAGTAACCGTCTTAGATTCAAGGTTAGTTTGATGAAAATAAGTTTATGTAACATTACTAGTAAGGAAAAAACGCAATATAAAATTAAAACACATTGCTTCCAAGAATAGTTTTTTTTTCAAAAAAGGCTAATAATTATGTCTGCATATTTTTGTGAAAACAAATTGTTGGTGATTTTGGGACTTCTTGTATAATATTGTTGCTGATTTACATCCAATCTTTTGTCACGAATTGCGAAATCACGAAGATACGATAGCAAACGACATATTTTGTTATAAAAATAGAAGCGCATATCTTACATAAGAATATTTTTAAAAAATATATCCTTACTATCATGGTTGAAACATTATATTTTCGCATAACAGAATACAGTGATAATTACAATAAAGGTATTTATTTAACAGGTCATTGGATCACGTGATGCACAAAGACAAGACAGCGATATATTTGAAGTTATAGGGTATGATGATAAAAACCAAATTCTAGTGGAGCGCGTTATCACCGTGAGTTTTTTTTAAAGGAGAACAAGTATTGTATAAGACTCATGCACAAAAATGTGTCGTATAATAAAGTATAAATGGTAATAATCTAACAAGACTTTGTTTTAAGACTTGAAATAGGCTTTCAGAAATGAACGTTTCAAAACAATTCTCGTGTTAGATTATAATGTGTTTAGTTATTTTGCTTGTTGTATTATCATGTAAAAGTTTATTAAGGAAATAACCTTTTAAATATGCTCTTTAACAACGTAATCTAAACCTTATTATGTATTCGTGTATGTTATGCGATTGTCTGTAAATATAAGATAAAAACATCAAGATAAGATAAGTGTATTAAAGATATATATAATGGCCTTGACGGTTATCTGTTTGAAATATTGTAAATATTTTACTATTTGTTTTTGCCAAAACTACAACTCCTCGGTCTTATATATAGTTTACGTTTAATTTTCTACTGTTTACTACTACTTTTCTACAGCAAAGTGTTACACAAGTGATAAATTATTAAACACGCAATACAATTTGTGACATGGGCTAAATCTTTTTTATTGCCTTAGTAGTACGACGTCGCAAATGTAAATGTACCAGAATTCATTGTCGTGGAATCATAACTTTTATTTACTTTTCAACATTTATTATATTTTCAGGACGACAACATTATGTTAATGAATGCCTTCTCAAATGTACAGCTCGGAAGTGCCGTGTCGAGTTACACTGGAATGTTGTTTGTGGTGGGTTATTTTCCTGTAATTCTGCATGAAACCTTAACGCAACTGGGTTTAACAAACGTATTTAAAATCCATTTTAACATACAAACATTCATTCAGTTCTAATGTGTTACCGGTTTGCAGTACTTTCACTATTTGAATTGTCATAGGCTGTTGATAAAACGTTACGATTGAATTTACAACTCACGGCTGCTAGCTGACGTAATTACTCGTGATAATTGTATACAATGCCGAAACAAATGTTCGGTACTTTGATTTTTTAGGCTGTTTTAGTGTGACACAGGGTATTAGTTAACCATGTACAAGTGTCAGGCCGTAAAACTATGTGTTAATCTTAATATCTATTTTTTTCGTTTCAATTACTCGAACAATGAATGTTCCGAAAAGTATTTGAAGAAAATGGCTTACATTGAAATGATACAACAGCTGCAATAAGACGGAGAAAATATATTTAGTTAAGGATTATTATATTCCGTATGTTAACTGTATTTTATTGACCTGGTTTTAGGTTGTAACAAGAGGTAAAGTTGTCCATGCGGTTTTCAAGCAAGCTAGCAACAAAGCAGTCGAACAAATTGATGAAATTTTGCAAGAATTAATCAATCCCACAGCAAGGCTGTTGGTGTTTTACGTAGACGAAAACTCGCACAAGGTTGTCGCAGACTCTATCAAAATTGACGTTGATGCAAAATGTAGAGGAAAAGGGGTATGTTTATCATGCAAATATATATGCAACATATATGCTTTATTTCTAAGATAAAAATGAAATATTAAAATAAAGGTATAAATCATTCCTCAGATGCGTTTATGATGGACCTCCTCGAATATCTGTTAATTTGAATTCTGCCGATGCCTTTGAATTATTTCATATCAAATCCAAATAGGTAGGGCATTTGTTCTGCCAAATCTAACGCTTAAGGGAATCCGTGGCAGGGTGATCTTTAAGTCACATGCACCTCTCCGCTTTGCTTTTGAGTTCTATCTGGAACTAGCTAGCTTACTGCAGATTGTTTGTTCTACACAATTAATACACGAAATAACAAAGAGTTTTAAACATATTTCCACTTAGATGACAGTTATTACTTTTATAATTGTAGTTAACTTTAAAACCTAATACTGTTGCGCCGTTACCTGGAACAGCGGATAAGCTGACTATAACTGGAACTCCTTTTTCTTGGGTTGGCCTCAATGCCATGGATAAGGCCTTGCTGCTTCTAAATGATAAAAACATTTTGGTGAAAAATAAGGTAGGATAAATCTTCTTTGAGACGTGCACTATGATAGTTAACTTTCTCTATTTCTTTGATTCAATAAATAACTTCTTTATTTTCTTTTTAATGTAAGGTATTTGTGAATATTTCAAAACTAAAACAGTTCTGAGAAGTCTATAAATCGTCTTGCTGTATCGTCTTCTCATATGCCAGGCGAGGCTCCAGTGAGGCGAAATATTTCCATGACAATCATTTGTGTTTCTTAACGCTAGTCAAAAATGCATGTGGGGTTAGTAGTCGATCAATTATGAAGAAATTGGGAATTATTGGTAATAAATTCAGGAAAGTCGGTTAGGTAGATCAACAACCGATATATGACCAAAAACTGTGAGAGTTGGCTTATGCTCGAGTGCCCAAAAGTGTCAGAATATAGTGAATGCGATTCCCATTAAGTAAATTGATTTGCAAAACATAAAATAATACTTTCCCATTATGTGACAAAAATCATTCCGTAAAAATAACTTAATCTATTTGTTTAAAAGGCTCACAATTCCTTTTTACGAGCCAGAATATAACTATGCATAACAGATACTTCTTTTGCAATTCATCAATCGGGCTTACCAAGAACTTTTGTAGATACTGAATAGAACTTTGATAAACTTTGATAAAGAAACAAACACAATCGGTGATATTTACATTTTAGATGTTCGATGTTTTAAGGTCACATGACCTTGGATGCGGTGAAGGAAGTGGTAAAAATAATGGAGATGTTTTTAAGGTAAGTGTGTCAATAATTGTGTCTATTATAGTATAGTGGCTTGAAATGATTAGAACAACAGCGCCGCCTAAGCCGCCAGCAAAACGAGTAATTTCTACAATAATAATAGTCACTATTGTTCACGTTTGTCCCTTAGTATGATATCAACAAATTATTTCCACCGCTATGATTTAAGTTTTCTCTAATTACATTATTTACCTATAAAGATTCTCGATTTGTTACACTGTGTATCTGTTCATTCTACCGGAGTGCCAAAATTTTTGCAACGAATTTTTATGCAGCAAACTTCGAAGTGAAAAAGAAATTAATCCATAAATTAACATCAGCCATATATATAGTTTATATAAACGTCATAATTGACGTTACAAAATTACAGTATCATAATAGACCACATCTGTGTTTTTTATGTTTATTTCTAAGCCTTATTTACTATATGTTATCACAGTATCACCGCTATGTCTCAGGTATGTATTTTTGTTGTTGTTAATGTCATCTTTAGTGTAATTGAAAGATATGTTTGCCAGAAAAGAAAACAAAAAAATTAAAAAATGTTTTGGAATGAGCCGATTTCGTCTATTTCAATAACTGTGATCAGGGTCTTTATAAAGTGAACATTAATCTGATGTTGCTACAATAAATTAGTCGTGCAAATTAAAAAAAAATAATATACTCCTTAATATAAAAAGGGTATGGTTGGTTTGACATCAAGTCATTACGTTTTGCATTATATTCATATCTATTTATCACTATAATGTTCAACTATTGACTACGCATATTTATAAAACCTCTTTTACAGAACGCAGGATTTTCTATTTTGACCAACGCCGATGTTGATCCAGATATGTACCGTGAACAAGAAGGATGTGATTCAAACGCTCGTAAAAGACGTTCTGCTGATGGTATTTTCTTATTTTCTTTAGAATCAGAATTGTGGAATTTAAGTGTTTGTTTCAGAAATATTTTTTCATATTGAACCTTATTTCAATTTTATGTACTTTAAATATTATATCTGAACTCAAATTTAAACAAGGCAAAGTGTATTCAGACATCTACTTTTCGGAGACTTGATTTTTGGAATTGTAATTTCTATTAGACAAAGTTTAATTTTTTAGGACCTGAGCGCAGAGGCCCTAGGATTTATCAAATATCATGGAATATATGCTTATTTTCTTGCTTCTGCAGTTGTTCATGCAAGACAAATGTGCATTAGCCCTTTTAACTACTGAGATGGTGTATGTGTAGCATTATTTGTTCACATTTATTATTTCTAATTCTCTATTATAGATTGCAATGGTGCTGATGAGCGATGTTGTATATATGGTAGATGGTATGCTGAGACAGTTATCAACGAAACTGCAAAAGAAGAAAGGGCAAAATTAGATTCGTACACATTGTGCTACTCTGCTGCAAAGAAATCATTTAAAACAAACCACTATGAAATCAGATGCATCCAGTCTATCTTACACTCATGTATAGATGAGATGGAGTCATTGATTTCCGGTAAGTATACTGAGTCATTCACATTGTAAATATTACTTTTTATTTCGATTATTTCGAGTATTTCAATTTTTTATTCATACTAATTAGTATATGTAATACATGTCTTGATAAGCTCCACTTGCATAAGAAAAAAGTGGAACAACTGTCATGACCTTCTCGTGTTGGTTAAATTCTTCTTCTAAATTCCAATTTCTAAGAAAATATTAAAGCTATAAATTTCCAACTTGATATATAATTTATTTTATCATTTAAGGATGCGACTTCAAAATGCAGATAACCATACAATTCCTTTTTTGCAAAGTTTTCTGTTTCTTTTATTTAACTATCCATCACCAGGAAACTTTAGTGCGGTGTTCGCGGACAGGTCTTGTTATATTTCACGTGGCATTGTCCTTATAATTTGCGACATTATCAAGTACTATACTATTGCTTAACCTACCTACCCTAATATGGGTTTGAAATAGTCGGACTTAACAAAATTACCCTGGTGTTGTCTAGCATACAATTTTAAAATAACATTTCTATGTTTATCAGAAACTTAAATATAATTCATTTAAAAAAAGCATGTATGCAAATTTACTTTCTGTGTTTTTGAAAATCAAATATTGCTTTTAATATTGATCAATAGATATTGTTATGAAATTATATTTCACTAATATATAAATCACCGCTGCTTTCACTAATAAAAAATCACCGCTGCTTGTAAACGTATCAAAGCCCAAAGTGCAAACATCTATTTATTATCAAACCACTTGCCCCTCACCGCTGTGGGTTCAAATCCCGACAGGGACTTTGGATTCTTTCATGTGAGGAAGCTATCCAGCTAGCTTACGGAACGTCGGTGGTTCTACTCAGGTGCCCGTTCGTGCCTGAAATAATGCACGGAAGGGCACCTGAGGTCTTCCTCCACCAGTAAAGCTGGAACGTCGCGATATGACATATACTGTGTCGATGTGACGTAAAACCCCAAAACAAAAAAAAATGTATTTATTATTTTTATATTTGATCTATCACATGTCAGTAGACAATACATTTATTGCGACCATTATGAAATTCAACGTCAAATATTTTTTATATTACATACTATAAAATTTTGTATGCTGTAATTTATTATTATTTACTGTTTTACTCACTGCACATACGAGGGTTGTTCAAAAAGAAATAGGACTGAATGTCTTGCATATTCATGTTTCATCCAATTTAGAACATTTTCATATGTATAGGAATTGTAAAATGTTTTCTACAATTTATGCATAAGTTTATAAATTTATTGTGATGAACGAGCATTTAGTTTAATATTAAATAACCATGGTAACACGCACCCGGCGCAGCACATAAAAATAGTTATTGAAGCTAAGTTGTACTTCTAATTATTTAATAATTTATACATTGTGTGTCAATATATTCCACCAACACATTAATTTACATTTAAGTGACATTATATCTAAATTTGACGACATTCGGGCATGAAATGGCATAATTATTTAATTTTGAACAGCTGTGGTCATGCCGTTGAATGTAAAAATACGGCACTCAGTAACAAACATAAATTCGTGCGATCGTTAAATTGTGCCAACCAATTGGCAATATTCTTTCAGATACATACAAAATGATAAAATTAAGAAAGGAAAATTATCCTGCCATCAGGACACTCGTTTTTAGCTGGTACAATCAATTTAAAAATGGCGAATTCAAAATCTGTAACAGGAAAGTGTGAGGATGAAAGCGGAAAATTGACGGGACTTTGGTGACGTCAATTGCAAAAGCGCTGTAAATGGATCGACGGTAAACGGTACGCAGACTGTCCGGTACTTTTTTGTCTGCTTCGGGTCTACTTATTCAGTTGTCAGCTTAGGATTTATATAAGTCGTTTTTATCAAACACCATTTTATTGTATCTCATGATAGATATGATTGGTTTTAATTAATCAATATAACAATGATTAACGGTAATGATTAGTTGTATTTCCCCCCAATTTGTTTTAATAAATGATAATTTTCAATTTGATAAATAATTTTATTTAACTTTATATAATCATTTTGTTTTAAAAACGTACGATGACATACATTAACTATATAAATCGCTTTTCCATTAGCATTTTAAGTCCATGCTTGTTGAGTTCCCAGATATTCGAGAAAAGTGAAGAATGGCCGGCTATCGGGCATTTTTCTTAGAGAGTTGAATGAAATTGTGATCGCTTTCTTTCTCGCTTAATCTGTACATATGAGACCTGATCATGGCTACATGATTCAGACACCTAGAGCACTAGGAAGAATATTTTCAGGATGGATGACACTTGTTATATTTTATACTTATTTGACGACGTCATGAACGTCATTTATTGTAGTGTCAGCGTGCGCCGGGTTTCGTACCCCTTGTCATTTGAAAATTTTATAGAATTTTTATTTGTTAACATTTTGTATTGATTTTTTCACTGTATATAGAGAACATGTTCCGATATTTGTTTCTTGTACAATTATGTACGTAAATTAAAAAATGTGAATAGTAGAGCTGCTGTCCTATTCCTTTTTGAACAACCCTCGTATCTTTCTGAAAAAAAATATTGTCGAGTGTTCTGCAATCAATGGTATAAAGCGTTTCTGTAATGAAATTATTATTATTATTATTATTATTATTATTATTAAGTTTTGATTTTCTTTTGTTAATAACAATTATGCATAGGGTATAATAATTACTATACATTTTAGAGGTTACTCAACTTTCGTCCAGGTCATTAGAAGACGTCAGTCATTATGCAAAAGATTTAGAGTTCCTCGCAAACGAGAATGCAAGGCCTCATAAACGAACTGATTTCAGGGAGTCCTTCATGTTTGAAGAAGTGCAGTTAGATATGTTAGTACATAGTAAATTACCATTACAGTTTTTTTTACTTACATGTAAATAGTAACATGTATTATTAACATACATGCTATCATTATTATCATCACTGAAACAACTGCTTTCATTTTAATTATAATAGGGGGGTAATATAATGCACTTTTTCAGTGGAAAAATGAAAACACATTTAAAGCCAAAACTCGCAGGGCTAGGATTTATAAAAAAGACGCACTATTCTAGCATACATTTGTAACAATACACGTCTGTTACTGTAATTCAGCATTTGGGTAACCTATTTGATTTTCATTTGGTTTACCTTTTTGATTTTCATTTGGTTTACCTATTCGATTTTCATTTGGTTTACCTATTTGATTTTTGTATAAAGAAACCGGTTTCGTCATGCTGCTCACGTGCTTGTAGGAGGCAATTTGGATTATGTTTTGAAAATAAAATTACCAGACCGTCATTGCAATAATCTATATTATACTTGGTGAGGGATCGCATAGTAAAAAAAGTGCAACAGCTGCGCGTGTGAATAAATAACCAGAAATAATAAAAGTGAATAAAAATAGCTCAGTTGGTTAAACCACTGACTATCACTCCTCAGGTCCCGGGTTCGATCCTGGGTTACACCCTTGGGATTTTTCAGAGACACTTTCAGTGTTTCCCACCTACATAGAGGTGTACTGGTAAGAAATCCAGGAAATCCTCGCATGTATCAGTGCTATACACTGGGCATGTAAAAGAACCAAGGGGTCTATTCAATAAGAGCTAGGGACTGGTTCCCGGATTCCCTTGTATCTTAAAGCTGTTTCTTAAATGTATACAATGTATACCTGCCTGTAACACTCGTAAGAGGGGTTGGCAGTATCCAGAGATAGATAGATTGATAGATAGATAGTGATCGACATCTAGAAGTATTTGAGGTCTGATTCAGTTGCGGAAGACAAATGACTATAAGATTCCGGAATAAATGTCCGCTAAACCTTTTCACGGAGAAATATCGTCTCGCCCGATGATCGAACCAGCAAACTCTGGATAAGTATTTTTGAATCCAGGGGGCAGACAACGAACACATTTATAAAATGATGATCCTGTACTGTATTGTTAAGGAACAAGTTTACATTTGCTGACCAGTTTCATTGTCAACTGCAACATCTCTCTATTACTACAGTATAAGTTTTAATTCAACTTCTAGAAAATGTATTTTTAGTGTTTTTATTGATCTGTTGTTTACATGCCACAAACATTCTGATTACGCTCAAAAGGTTTCTTTTTTCATAGTTTTACACTTTGATAACTATAAAGATCACTTTCAATTTTAGAAATGGACAAGAAAGTAAAGTATATATATACCCGGATTCAATAACAGAATGGATGATACAAGCTATTGGTATGTATTTTAAAACTTTCACTGCTTTAGTTTCTTAATTTCCCCTTTTAAGATGACTTTTAATATCAAATAACGCGTATGTACTTTTATTCAATAAAGAATCTCTTATCAGTGTAATTAAGCTACGTTTGCGTTAAGTCAGTGTAACCAAAATATACTCAGGTTTACGCCAGTTCTATTTCTTTGAAAATTGAATGAAACTTTTCGACTTTTAGCTGCCCTTCCTTTATATATGTGTGGTTAAGCAAGGCATTTTCCAGAATTTAAAACTAATGTTATAGATATAAACTTGTCATTAATCATGACATGGTCTTGATTATACCTATATACTAATTGCCATTTATTACATTATACATACAGTTATAGCCATTTATTATGTTTTGGTGTTGATACATGCACATAATTATATTAGTAGTATAACTATGTTTCACGACATAATAGAAGTTAGTTTGGTCAACCGAGTAGGCTAACTTTGTATTTTCCTATTAAGGAATAACTGAAAACATTGGGATGTGTATTGCTGATCCAGTAGATGTTAGAGTCTTTAGGAAGTTCTTCATCCAACTAGACCTTCCATACAAAGCAACAAGATTTGAATTATTTGACGTGAAAGCTACACTGTTTAATTACGGACAGGAAAATGATCCACCTAAGTCAGTAAGGAAAATAAATATATCATTACTATGTGACAGCTTATCAAAATGGCGAACCAAAATGACATTATACATTATATTGTTCAATTCTAAACAGAATTTTACATACTATTTCCGACTCTGGATAAAGTATATTTGATATCCATAAATCACATCTGCTGTAATGCACAAATATACAGTGGATTCAATCAATGTAAAATCGTAAAAAATGTATATAAAATTGAAAAGAATTTACAAATAGAAAATGACAGAGGAAAATACTTTTAGAGAGGGTTTAATCTATCCTATAAAAAGAAAGTCAGTTTCGTGTTTTTAGAAGGCATGTTTTTTTTTTTCCAAAAGTCATATCAGGATTGTCATCTTGTAATGCGCCGTTACTGTTTAATAAAGCACAGCCAAAACTGTTAAGGGGTCTGTTTCAATTATCAATTAAAATAATCAGTAGAGGAAACTCACAATAGCTATATATAATTTAAAAATCTGAACAAGTACTAATATTTATATGCTTCTGAACGAAAGTTGTTATTCATCATAAGTGTTTCGAGGACATTTTCTGTGCATAACGTGGTTAATTAAATGATTTGATATTGAAGTTGGATCTATTTTTGAGTTGAACTTGCAGTTTAAATTTCATTGAACATTCTCTTGTGTTACATTCAAGGCAAACATGTACTTGGAGGCAGTGGAAGGTTTATGTTATGGTACAGCACCGGGTAAGCCCTCGCCAAGAAAAGTAATCGAAGTAGGTCCAAATAGTGCCACAACTGTCCGATTTCCTTTGATACCATTGAAAGCGGGAAAATTTTCGGTGAAAATTACAGCCATCGTCACCGAAGCGGGAATGCCAATGGTTGACATAATCGAAAAAAATCTCTATGTTGTGGTATGTCTTATTAAAGCTTTCATTCATTTCTATAGAACTATCATATGCGTAACAATAATATATATTCTTTTGTTGCAGTATTGTTTTCCAATTATCTTGGAATGATAGCAAACCATCAGAACTGTTGTTTCTCCACAAAAGAAAGACTTTCTTGATTAAATTAAGCAATGTTAGATTACTAAAAAAATACTTACACTTTACTTCATGCAATATCCCAATAATAACAGTTTTGACAACTAGTGAAGTCAAGTGACATGCCTAAGAGCATTCAAGCATATAATAATAACATAACAACACATTTCAGATCGGGTAGGTGTTGTATTTTAATGTCAGTGGTCTCAATAGTGGGGTCATTTAAAGAACAAAACAAAGAATTGGGACTGAACCTGGTGGTCTTAAAAGAGTATAAGTGAGGAGATCTTTACTCTAGATCATGTAAACATTGACATAAAGAACAGAAAATCCCGTCCATTTAAAAAGTGGTCCTAATAGCGGGTGGTCTACTAAATTCTGGACTGGTCTTAAGTAGGGATTCTACTTGTATGCATATTGTTGATTACATACCTTTATGTTCATTTTACACAAACAGAGAAGAAGTCTTAGAGAAGATGTCATAATACACACACATTTTTATTTACAGAACGAGGGTATTCAGGAAATTATAACAATTCAAGCTTGTCTAGATCCAAACGAGCAACGTGAAGATTGTGAAGATAGCGACAGAGTTAAGACAAGTGAGAATAAGTAACATTTTCTGTTGAATAATAAGGTTCCCTTTAGGGCGGCAAGTAAAATATAAACTATTGACATGCAATACTTTTAAAAATTTCTTGTGCCTCTGTAATAATTTTAAAATACAAAATTATCATGATATTATCTTTATTTTTGTAGATCTTTTGAAAGCCATTAGCTTTTCCCGCCAGCATAAATTCATATCATTCGTGTTGTCTGATGACGCTCTTTACCTACTGGTTTTGGAATAAAAGCCTTAATTGATTGTTTAAAGTTTAATAAAAAGCTAAATAACACAAAGTCTGCAAGTTTAGGCGTCATTTTTCTGATTAAACCTATTTCACAAGACAAAATTGTTTTAAGGATGTTTTAATTCACAGGTGTTAAATATTCCGACAATGGACATGCACAGCAAGTATCTATAGTCGACCTTTCATTACCAAATATAGCAATCCAAGGCACCGGATCGGCTACAGCATATTTACAAGGTATGTCGTTTATAATGACGAATTGTGACAATAAAACATACAAAATTTATAGGAACCCGCATATATATGGAGATGGAATCATGTACTTTTATGATTGCATTTAAAAGTACTTTTAGAAATAAACTTCAGAATATAGCATGTAAAGTAATGTAAATCATGGGGTAAACGTTAGTTGAACGTTGCATTTTGTTGTTGGTAGAAACTGTAAATAATGAATACAAATAGTTCTGTGCCTGTGGGCGCGGAGCAATGATAATAAGACAACCACGAAATTATCTTGACAGAATGTTAAAATTATTAGTCTGTCTAAAATATTTGTCTTTAAATATTTATTCGGGATACCAAATTTATTCAAGATACATTAACCTGTCTTTCTCAATATAAAAAGCATACACTTCTTGACTCAGTCCTAGTTTCTACAATGTTTGTTTATATTACAGAAACTATATTTGAAAATGTTCTATTGAGTTGCATAACCAAATTTGTTTTCATCTGTAAACGAGATAAGGCTCCAATAAGTAAAGAAATTCCGATGTGATATAATTTATGATTATCTCGCAGTTGTTTTGTATATGCATACTTTACATTAACTATAACCCACGTTAATTTATTACATAATTCATTAAAGCAAATGTCATGGATAACGTAGTGCAAACCATACTTAGCGGCGTTGATAGCTTATTCCAATGTCCACATGGTTGTGGAGAGCAGACGATTGCCACAACCGCCCCAAATGTGTACGCCATGATGTATCTGAAGCAAACCAATCAGGTCACTGCAGATCATGAGGTCACCGGCAATACTCATATTCGAGATGGTAGGAATACATTCTTTAAATGCATGCAAGGTTAAGTCATGTTATCTCCCGGCTCTAGTTGTTTTAACATTATTTGGTTAATAATAATTTCATTTACATGACAAATTACTAAAAGCAATTTTAACGAATTGAGAAAGAAGTTTAAGAAACTATCGTAACATACTTGTATGAAAGACTGTTTGCCACACAGATAGACATCATTACCTGCACATTTATGTATATCTATTTTTAGTACATTGTTATTCTGTTGTTTAAATCTATTTAATAACCAGATGTCACAGGGTCTATACGAATGTTTCTGGTAAATCAGTTATTCTGTAATGTTTATCATCTTTTTGTTTACTTAACGGAGTGGACGGACGCAACCCTTCGCAACAGTTTCGCCTTTCAATAAAATCAAACAAGCAATAGTTTGTTTTGCATCATAGCGTCGTACAGCACTGTTCTTCATCAACGCGAATCTATCGTTGTAGGTGTTAATAGAGAGAAGAGCATGTTCCGACATTCAGATGGCTCCTACTCCTGTTGTAATAATGACAAACATACTGGCATTTACAGAGCAACAAGTGTTTGGTAAGTTTAATACCATGATTTATTTTATGCTTTTCAGTGGATTTCTGATCCGTGAAAATTATATTTGATAATTTCACAGTGAAAATTGTCAAAATATAATTTCTCATTTTTTAATGACGAAACTACTTTATTTGAAGATTTTGCCCATGTGGTACCTCAATTTTATTATTGCTGACAATTCTGACAATGTCTGACAATATCAGGCTGATAAGAGAAAAGCAAAGCTAAAATGGATATATAACTTAAATGTCAAAAGTAATAAAAAGAAGAAAGCTTACTTCTATTCATTCAAATTACCAATCACCAAACATCGTCTCTTTTTTTCTCATTTTTACAGTCTGAAAAATACATTCCTTCCACATGCAAAACTGCTCTTGATGACATTTGTGCATATTTAAGTATCGTACGAGCAATAACTGCCGTATGCTTTTGATAACTTGAAAAGCAATGACAGCCATCAGCCCGAAGAATAAGTGAACAACCCAGCGTTCGTTAGGCAGCCTTTCAACTTTCCAAGTTTTCTAATTTCCTAGCCGCTTTTTGAATGTTTACACTTCTGTCAATACTTATTTATTGTGTGTTACAATCCTCAAATAAGTTTTCTTTCTTTAAAAAAGGTGTATGACCAACAAATCCATGATGTTCCTCTGAATCAAACACAAATATTTTCCTCCCATGAAATACACAACTTTAAAAAAATGGCGGCCGCTTACATGTAAAAAAGCCAGGTCTAATATAACTTCGCTGTAAGGAACACAAATATGGATGGATGGTTATACTTTTTCCCCTACTAGAATTGTTTGTTTTTATTATTAAAACAAGCGCTCATTCATATTTTTTAATTAAAATGAATAAAATCACCGCCATTTACCGTTGATTGTCGAACCAAGACTTGTATATAACAGGACAATCTCGCGACCTGTGATTCAGTACAGAATCCGGGATTGTGTATTAAACATAAAGTGAAACGAATAAACTGATTTGTAGTAATATGTGGCACAAAATATCGTAATTGATTAATTGTATTATATATAGCATATCGACTTAAACTTAAGCTTGACATATGATAAGGGCCTACTCATTAACGAACAGTGATATACGACATCGGACGTACCGGATTCCGGTTTTTTTGCGAATCATTGTTGTTACACGTGACCATGAAGAATTAATTGTATTTCCTATTTATAATGGCTGCAGCGCTAGAAACGCTATAAAGTAAAGTATGCAAAGAAACACGATATATTGACGCTTTTGCCAACAATCTTTCTGGAATATAGATGCCAATAAATTAGTAATGGATTTATATATTAAACCTGATTAAACTAGTATTTACCTTTTACTTGAAATTTTAATACATTTTTTTTTTCATTTTACCATCTGGGGGTGAGTGGCTTTCACATTATTTTTCTTACGTTTTGAATTATTGAGAATCTATTATTCAAATAATTGCATTTTTATATGAATGAAAGAACATTTTAAAATGTCATTTCAATTTCCTGAATCCTTCCACTCAGAAATAAAATTCTGCAAAGGTGCAACAAGCTTTTAAGTACTCCGAAATGCCACAATTGAAAATATAAACAAAGGATGACTTGAAATGGGCCACTTCAGATTTTACATAACTATTTTCTGAACTACAGCGTGCTGAGTCTATTTCCGTACCGTAGTGACACAACAGAAAAACTACCGTCTTACTAATATTTCAAAATCTGTCTTCAAAAACAATGAAATTGAAATGACATTTTAAAATGTTCTTATTTTAACACTTTTGATTGCTTTTCCGCCGACATGGTTTACTTTTATTATACAACGGATTTATTGCATTTGGGTTATTTCTAGCACCACGTAATATAACAGGACAATCTCGCGACCTGTGATTCAGTACAGAATCCGGGATTGTGTATTAAGCATAAAGTGAAACGAAAAAACTGATTTGTAGTAATATGTGGCACAAAATATCGTAATTGATTAATTGTATCATATATAGCATATCGACTTAAACTTAAGCTTGAAATGTGATTAGGGCCTACTCATTAACGAACAGTGATATACGACCTCGGGCGTACCGGATTCCGGGATTTTTGCGAATCACTGTTGTTACACGTGACCATGATGAATAAATTGTATTTCCTATTTATAATGGCTGCAGCGCTAGAAACGCTACAAAGTAAAATATGCAAAGAAACACGATATATTGACGCTTTTGCCAAAAAAAATTCTGGAATATAGATGTCAATAAATTAGTAATGGATTTATATATTAAACCTGATTTAACTAGTATTTACCTTTTACTTGAAATTTAATTTCATTTTGTTTTCATTTTACCATCTGGGGTTGAAGTGGCTTTCACATTATTTTTCTTACGTTTTGAATATTGAGTATCTATTATTCAAATTATTGCATTTTTTATATAAGATA